AACAATGCAGATGTTTAAAGAAAGCTCTGCAAATAATGAATGAGGAAGGAAACACATTCACAATGTTCATTAAGCCTCAGGGATCCACAGAGAACATCAAAGTGAAACACATAAAATAGAGAAACATCTCTGAGTGTGAAGCTATGTGTGCATTCACTTTGGATAATGTATCCATTACTATTCCGTTATTGCTTACACATCTGGTCAGTGATCAATCTTAGAACTCATTCGGAGTCATGTTTGTAACAACCTGAAGTAAGTCCACTATTCACCCTCAAGCCATTTATCTCCTGATTGTTGCAGTCTTCATCAGTAAGTGGCTTACTCTGGATAACTGCTGTTTTAAGTGGGCATGCAGGTTACATACTTTAATTTTTGCAGAGTGTAATACTCATCTATGGAATCCATAAAGGTACAAACACCAGCAGTTGCAAAAAAACTCTTCATGACAAACTGTAAGCACATCTTTGAGAGTCAAGTGTACCCACCCTCTTCATAGTCAGCAGAATATATGATGAATCAGCACATCATATGCACTAATTGTTAGTAAAAGCATTGACTGGTCTGTATTGGAAGCTTCAGTTCCAGTGTTTCTTGGTTAAAATAGTTGATCTCGTCTCGTGCAACATCTACACCCTATGTGCAAAACACCAGAAGAAAACTTGACTAAAGGATGTATGGAAAAAAAAAACAGTATCTCCACCATGTAGATACATTTACAGAGACAAACAAAGGCTTAGTGATCCATGTGTGTATTGAATGAGGATAGGCTTCCAATCAATGCAGCGTCTCAGTAAAGTCTTCACCAGCCTGTCTGGAGACCGAAGGAATCCATGCTACTCAAACTAAGTAAGAGGAGGAAAGTTTTGAGGGGAGTGAGATGTGAAGGAGAAAATTCAAGGTATAAAAAAATTTAAGACAAAAGGGGGGATTAGAAGAGAAGGAGAACAAGAATAAAGAGAAGGAGCAATGGGTAAAAATGAGAAGGTGAAATATATGAGAGAGGCCCAAAGGATATGAGAAAATGATGTAATGTGCAATAACATTATTCAATGTTGTGAAATTAATTGTGGTAAATACACAAATGAAACAGAATATATTACTACTAACTTATGTTTCTGTGTCTGTCTGCTGTTCTTCTTGATCTACAGATTATCTGTGTTTGCAACAAGTGTCTTCTTAATCCAAAAATAAATTAAACAAACTTTCTTTTCTTATTATTCAGAGATTAGCTGATAGTTAGCTTTAGCTTCATCTGACTGCATCAAGAGGGTGTAAATGCATGGCTATTATACACAACCCTCCATACAGCAGAACTGGTACAATGTACATATATTGAGTGAGAAAGCATTGCTTGAGTACATTAAAAGTGTTTTTTATTCACTGCGATAAATTCAGACTATTGCAATGGGTCTACTGCGAAGGCTCATATCGCTATAACAATAAAATTGTGATTAATTGTGCAGCCGTATAGTTTGAGATGACACAAGAAAGATTACACAAAAACAATGCAAAAAGAAAGAAAAAGTAAAGATCGAGCAAAAACAGCTATAAAAACATCTGTGTGTGTGTGTGTGTGTGTGTGTGTGTGTGTGTTTTGTGTGTGTGTGTGTGTGTGTGTGCGTGTGTGCGTGTATGTGTGTGTAGGTGTGTAGTAGGAGATTGAAGCTTTGCCAGGTTTATGGGGTTACTTTCGGTCCCTGACACAGTGCCTATAAACAAATCCAGATGGCAAACATCCTCAGCAGGACACACACACACACACACACACACACACACACACACACACACACACACACACACACACACACAAACAAACACAACACTTGTGTCACTTACTTAACTTGTGTATACAACCTTTTACAGAAACACAATAGCCTCAAAGACAGCACATATTCAGAATACTTAAACAACACTTGCCAAATAGTTTTAAGTAAAATAATTTAATTTAATTATCTGAGACGTGAAACATGAATTCCTCCTGTAGTATTTGTGTTTAATTATCACTATTAAATGCTGGAGGACAACATAAATCCAATGGAAGAACAACACTAGCAGCAAAACTAGGCCCAAGGTAATGCATATCTTCAACTTCTCCAATTATAAAATTACTGAAGTTTGCTAGACCTTCTCAGGAGTCCACAAGTGAGAAGGCTCATGTCCCATCCACAAACATGTGAATTAGAAGTTGCTAACATGCCCAACTCAAGATTAAATCTGACTAATTTGCATATTTGTAGCTATGCTTTTGCATCAAAGTCGCAGGGAGGATCATGGATTTAAAACCAATTGACTTTACAAATAGAGCGGCTGTGGATCACTGGGAGAGTCGGTCGTCTCGCAACCGGAAGGTCTGGGGCTCGATCCCCAGCTCCTGCAGCCCCATGTCCGAAGGGCAAGACACTAAACCCCAAAGTGCTCATCAGAGGCGTATGAATGTATATGAATGATTTGTTAACTCTGATGTTCACTTTACATTGAAGGCTCTGCCATCAGAGTGTGACTGGGTGTGAATGTGTAGGTGTGACCCAAAATGTAAAAGAACTTTGAGAAGTCAGAAGACTAAAATCGCTATACGAGTTCCATTCGCCATTTACAAACAATGATACCATATATTCAATGTTTTCATCCAGTGTCCCGTCTGTGGTTAAGTTTTGGCAACAAAAGCACTGTTGAAGGTTAATAAAAGATTTAGGTTGGATATAATGTTAAAGACCACATGATTCTTAAATACTACAGATTGAGTTTTCTGAAACTTGAACCAAATGCTGAGAAGCCACATCCCTACAAGTTTATACTGTACTGCAAGTTTTGATATTGTGGCAGAAAACAAATGACCCACATAGTCAGAGAATATTTTCCCGATGGAGTCAGAACTAATATGTTTAAATATTCCACGTTTATTCATTTCCAACTTTCCCTGTAAGTAATGGAAAAAAAAAACCTCTTGCCTCCATTATGTTTCCTCTAAAAAGTTATTAGCATAATAAAGAGTATTAGGGGTTGCTTGGGGAAAAATGTTTCTGTATTAATAATGATCTTTACCAAATGAAGTTTGGTGACAGTTCAAGCAGGAAACACTGTCCTCATCCCTCATTCAAACCCACACTCTTCTTTTCTCTGTTGTTCCAAGTTGTCATCCAGACAGAACACAGTGATTAACCTTCATTCACTTTATACTTAAATCATTCACATGACCTAGATGACTGAGAACCTACACAGACAGTGATTGACCTTCAACCATTCACCTTCAATTTTAGACTTCCTTTACATCCAGAATGCAACCCCATTGTCTCCAGGCTATTGTTGGTGGCTAGGCTTTTCTGCCCCATTAAAAATACACAATGACGGCACAATTGGTTCAACTCTTTCCACATTTTTAATCAGCAGGCTCAACAATCTGGTGAGGAAGGCACGCTCTGTTGTTGGCCTGGAACTGGACAGTTTGGAGACGGTGGCTGAGAGGAGGATGAAAAACAAAATCACAGCCATACTGGACAACTCCTCTCACCCTCTCCTTGATGAGCTGTGGCAGATGGGAAGTTCCTTCAGCCATCGTCTCATCCCCCCAGGTGCAAAACTGAGCACTTCAGACGCTCCTTTGTGCCTACTGCCATCAGACTGTACAACAGCAGTGGGTCCTGCAGTCTGTCTTCTTAATCACATCAGACATCTTGCTTATATTAGTTGTAAATACTTAGTACCTTTATCTTTATTTGTATTTATTCCTATATATTCTAATTGTATTAATACATATGCATGTTCTTCCTGTTGTCTTTTACTGCTGCAACACTTGAATTTCCCCACTGTGGATTATCTTATCTTATCTTATTAAGATATCTGTTGGCGAATAGTTATGTCTTTTTGTGATTTAACATAGTTTGTTAAAATCATAAATGGGCTACATTATGTATGCAAGAATGTGTCATCCAGTTGGACATATTCCTTTATTGCAGCATAGTGAAGAGGAGGAGGTGAAATGGGTTGTGACAGGAGGTGCAGTACACTTGAGACTGTTTGATGGAGGCTGCCTGAACTCACAACTAATCCCTGATAGGATTTCTGTTTCATGTGCATCTGGTATTAAAAAGTGTTTCCTTATCCACTGTTCTTATTAGGGACCTCAGGTGGAGTTACAGAATTTATACAATTGAAGTGAACGTGATGCTGTGGCGTGCACCATAGCGTCTTTGTTTTATGTCTACTGTACTGGAGGTCACCTCTGGTTTTTTGACAGGCAGTCTGAGATGGCAGGACTGGACCTTTTAACTTGTTGGGTGAGTAAGTTTGAGATTGTACAGGTTGCGTTGTAACTGACCCACTCTGACACCTAACTAAGTCATTGTATTGGATCACTATGTGCTCCAAACTACCTCCAGATGTGGTCAGGTCGATCAGGTATACTGTAAAATTCCAGTTGCAATGTGTTCTGCATGTATTTACACTTGCATTAATTTATTGTTTTTAAACAATAACAGAAGTTGTTCCTATAAGGATTGCTGTTAAGATCTGCTGTAAGTACACTCAATGACAACTTCTGTAAAAGTGAAAGATTCAGATTAAGAAATAAAAAAAGAATAGAAAAAAACTCGGTCAGTTGTTATAGGTCCTTCCTGTTCCATTAAATCACCCCTGTTCCCTTTTCTCCCTGTATCCTCTTTCTCTCATACTCTCTCGTTTCTGTTTTCTCTCTCACATGGCTGTAATTATGCTCATGTAAACAAACGAGACCAGAGAGAGACATCAGGAATTCCAGTTGGCCCTGTGGGATCGGTGTGGCTACATAACCACACAGAATGACACGCACGTGCAAAGACGATCTGAGTTAAACTGATACCTTCCTACAAGCTCCAATAAGGTCTCAAATATCACTGCATACTATGCTGCACTTCCTACTCCTGTTTGAACTTTGTGTAGGCACTCAGGTTTGCCAGTAACTCAACTGAGAAACATTGATATCCATCTCATTTTAACAATGAAAAACACAAATGTACACTAACCTGCTCATGGTACTCGATCCCCATGCTTAGCGTGTTGATCAGAATGGCAATCATAATCCCTCGTCCAAAGTATTTGCTATCCACAATCTTCCTGAACGTGTCGCAAACCAGCCTCCAAAAGCGAACAACCTTGGCCGCAGTTTTGCCCAGCCTCAGGCGCTTCTTTTTGGGCTGCCGGCTGTCTCTCCTGTCCCTGTGGTGGAGATCCTGGGTGAACTCATACAGGCCCTCACTGTCTGAGTCCCCGGGGGTCTCGTTGCCCTCGGTGCCACCCTCTGAATCGTTGGCGAGGGCTTTGGCGCAGTAAGGGCAGCTCTCGGGGTCCAATGTCAAAGCAGCTGTGTCCATGGCACTGCTGATGGTGCTGAGGTCACGAGCCGACAGCTGGCAGGAAAGCTGGGCTGCAGCGAAAAAGGTCAGATGGAGGGAAAAAGGTCAACAGGAGGAATTGACACAAAGAAAAGCGCATCACATTGAAATCAGAGTGATTAGATGATTGAAGTGGTTAAGACAATTGGTCTTATCAAATTAAAATGATTTGTTAAAGAAAAAAATGTGGGCCCTTGCTTGTGTGTCAGGGGGAGTGTATTTGACAGTGATGGGCACTGTGCACTGAATGAGTAATGACTTGTCTCCACAGGCTGAGGCTGTGTGGCTAGCTGCCAGACTCTCCACCAGGTCTACAAGCTGAACAGACCTTGCCTGACTTTTGCTGAGCCTTCTGTTTTTTATGACTTGGCCGGGGGAAAACAAAGCTGGCAGTGAGCTTGAACATGAGGGATTAACATTCATTGACTGTAATGAGCACTTTCCTGTATCTCACAAAAAACCACTCTGGACACTGTTAAAATTTGAGGCTTAATCACCACAGGTCGATACAATACCCCACTTAAGTGGTGATTGCTGAAAAAAAGATCACATCCAGTGATTTCTTGCTGTATTTGCTTCAACATTGCTATGGAAATTAAACACTGATTGCGCCTGAATGAGACACTCTTGTTATTTTCAAACCCCATTATGCTTTCCAGTTTTACACTCTATGCAAGAGCTCGGGAAATCATTTTTTATTTAAGACAGCTTACTCAAAGGAATGCAGCTAATGGCTAAAACCAACTACTTTGCAGTTTTTTGCTGTATTTATGGTTTTTTAGATCAACATATTTGTGAACACATCTCTTTGACTACCTGTGGGAGTGTGTGTTTCCACCAGGCTTGATGGGCGTCTCTCCAGGGGCAAGGGTGGGATATTCAGGTTGAAGCTGAAATTGGTCAGAGTGCTGCCTGCAACACTCCCTCGTCTAGACTCCGCCAGAGCTCGAGCCTGCAGAGTGGGGTAGTTCTTAGGACCTGGGCCAGCAAAGGGCACAGAATTTCTCTTCATATTCCTGGACATGGGAGCTGGGGCCAAGGAGAAGGGGCCCAGGGATGTCCCCAGGTTTGAGGGAGAGGGAGTACAACGAAGAGTTTCTATGTTGAGTACACTGCGAACCACTGAAGAATCAGCAGCTCCAGCAGCAGGATTGGACAAAGTGGACAGGTTTGTATCAGAGGTTGCTGCAGCCACAGAAGACGGCAAGGCCAAAGCAAGATGCCCAGTGCTGGTAGTTGCTGCAAGAGCCCCTCCATTGTTGTTATGAGCGCCAACCTCTAAATCTCTACCCTCCAGACACCTGATGCTCCCTCTGCTCCTTACGCTGCCATTCCTCAAGTGGTAGTGATGGTGGTGGTGGTGATGATGGTGCACCATGTGATGTGCGGTCAGGGATCCCTGCCTTGATGACTTCCTCCTCCTTCTCTGGCTTCGTTGGGGCTCCGCTGGCGGGGGTGTGGCGGGGATGTTGAGCCCCGCACGGCGAGCTAAGAATCTGCAGACATGGGCCACTTGTCTGGCCCCCTTGCGAATGATGTGAACCAGGTACTTGAGGAGTTCATCGTAACAGGAGCCCGGCTCAGAGAGGGAGGCAAGAGTGCTGGCGTTGGACATGAAGCGCACCCTCTGCTCCTTCATCAGCTGACTCTCCCTCTGTTTGGTCTCCGAGAACTGGGTTGCAATGACGACTAGGCACAAGTTGATCATGAAGAATGAGCCAATCTATGGACAAGCAGGGGTGCATGATATTAGGAACAGGGTCAGTGGATGGTCATACAACTGTACCCCCAATTGGCCCACTCGTTCAATCATCAGCAGACACACATGAAGACAAAAAGTGGCACTTACGATGATGAGCAGGATGAAGTAGATGAAGTTGTAGAAAGAGTGAGCGTCCATCACGAAGTACATAATGTCCACCCAGCCCTCAAGAGTGATCACCTTCAGAGAATCGTGGTGAAAGGGAAAGAAATAGAGAGAAAAAGAGACAAATGAATTTATTAAGCAACAAATTTAAAAAAGAGAGGAGAATTAAAAATAGAAAACTATAATTCATGGGCCAGATTGTCCCAAATACTAACTCGGTGATAAAACCAATCCCTAACATTTCACACGTGTTCTTTACCCCACAATGGCAAACTGGAGAAGCAGCAAGACTATTGGGAGAAGTCCTCTCCATTCTGGATTTTGCTCTCCATAATTACCCCCCTTCAGCTGAACAGGGATGACTGAACACTCCAACAAAAGGCTTTCCCGATTATATGGAGATAGCAAACAAATGGTGTGGAAAAACTCTGCAGCAGTCGTAGCTGTGGCGACCTGCTAATCCTGTAAGCCCCATTTCTCTGATACACCAGTCTCTCGGGCAATTAGGCTCCCTTCCTAACACTTTGTCTCCATCTTGTATTACAGGCTTCAACATCAGCCAGACCAAGCATCGCTGCAAAATGTTATTTTTTAATTGTTTGTCATTACTCTCAGGTGAGTACCTGAAAGATGGCAATCCAGGCGTAGCAGATGTTATCGAAGTTGATGGCTCCTTTGAAGGGGTTGACCAAACCAGCAGAGCAGTTGGTGTAGTACTGGTTCCAGTTGACACATGTAGTGTTGTCAGTGCTGTTGTAAGAGTACATGTCAAGGTTGCACTGTAGGACTCCCTCCTCATACAGCTTGGGCACTGAGCCACAGTCCCTCATGCCATTTTCCCGGGGCTGGGAGCAGATGAATGGGTTCTCGTCATCATTTTCAGTGTGGTAGTATTTTTCCAACTGCACAGAAAGAGGGCTATGGGGAGGAAAAAGACTGCTGATTTTAATTGAGACACAATGTAATACTAAATAGAAACAAGTAAAAACAAATAACATGATTTCTGGGATTTGGGTTTTAGCCTCTAGTTTAACTCAGTTTTGATTCCAGCAAATACTTTGGCTTCAATGTGAAGTTGGCGATATGACATGAAATTTCTTTTTTCAATAGATACAAAATCTTACTACATGATATGCCTTTCCACTAAAAAGGACAGTGCAAATAGGTACTTGGGTGAGAACCATTTTCTCCAAAACGATAGGAAAGCTTCGTTAACTATGACTACCTATAAAAAGTTCAAACATAAACATAAAGATTTGCAAAATAATCTGACATGTCTCTCTTTAAAGAATGTTAATGCTGGATGTTTTGAAATGAGGTGATCAAGTCTGGCTTCAAGCACAACCTGGGTGGAATTTAAAAATTAATTCCTAAATTATTGGGGTTTTATTTCCCTGCAAATCCTGCAAAGCATTTAATCACAGATTTACAACAATTTAAGCAGATAGGAAGAACTAATCAGTGATTCCTATCTATATTGTGAAATGGCCACACATATTTTTCCCCCTGCTACAGCTCCTTTAAGCGTATCTGTTCTATAGTGCTCCTCTGTCTGTAATAAATGCTGTGTCTGGTGATTGTTTGCAATCTGGCTTGTCTTGTCAAGGAAAATTCAGCTGGCATGCTTCGTTAAATTCATAGTTGCCTCAAATACTTGAAGCAACCAGACCAGTTAATCTTCACTGAAACACAACCTTACACTGTCTCACTTATTTATACATTCTGAAAAGATGCTTCACACCTTGTGATGAGCTATAACAACATTTACAGAAAGAAACACATTTGATTATCACACCTAGAATGAATGATGAATGATGGATGGTTCCTTACGTTCCTGTATTCCCAATCAGACTAATAAATAGTCACTGTCATTTACAGCTAACAGCTGTTACTGGTGTATCAGTGATTTTAAGAAAAATTGAGGCAGGCATTAAACAGATATGTTTATGACTTTACACCTAGAGCCAGACATAAATACATTTCATCAGATGCAGACATACAGACCTTGCAAGTAAAAGAAGGTCAAAAATTTGATTATGATGGTGGAAAAAAAATATGCGAGTTCACCAAAGTCATTATGCATGATCTTAAATTACAGCTGTGAGATGTCATAAATCCTATAGAGAGTAATGAAGCCAGGATGACCCAGGGAACATGAATAAGTCATGGTGCCCATGTTCTATATGTGATGGGCCACATGAGGTCTTTCTCATTATTCCAGGACTTGTCACTCTGCCATTCATCACTCTGATGGACTCTATAATCTATTACCTCACTAGCTTTAGTGCATGACCTAGTTTAGTGTGTGTGTGTGTGTGTGGGTGTGTGTGTGTGTGTGTGTAGGGGGGGTCAAGGTTTAGCCTATAGTTTTACCTTGTACTTTGATTGGCCTATTTGCAATCTTATTTGCGTTCCAACAAGTTTTAATAGTGATGAAGAGCAGCCAGCCACCTTGTGCTTGTTAGAAATAACAAAATATTTATCTCAGTTTTGGAAGCCAATCTGAGAATACAGAGTTTTTAACGTAGATTAATTTGTTTTGATGTTTTATTTTCCACATATCTACCCACCATTGTAACTGGCTTCAGTGGAGAACACATTGATCATTTTAAACAATTTGAATGATGGTTAAAAAAAATAAAACATCTAGCCAAAATGTTACCAAATGAATGTTGGTGTTTCTTTGAATTTCTTTTTGCTGTATGTTAATGTTTCAGTTTTTGCACATGACCCTAAGAATCCATCATTTCATTCTGTGGTGTTTCAGCCAAATGATTCATGAGACTTATCCCCTTATACTTGAAAGATTTTGAGTCAAAGAGAATTCATTAAGATCCTAAAAGTTCAAGAGAAGTGCAGTATATAAGTTTATTTTCCTGACATTATATCTGACAGATGGAAAGGAGATCAAGAATTCAAATTAACCTCACAAAGAAAGAGCTCATTCTCATGCAAATTACTTTTTAAACATGAAATAGAAACTGGAATATTCTATAAACAATGGAACAAAGACATGGTTAGAATATTGATATGTATACTGTAATAGAACTTACAAGGAGAAGTTGTCTTCTACAAAGCAGCGGTTTCTTAGAAGGCCTGCCCACAGCTGGACGCCAACAATGCCAAATATGAAGAAGACAAAGAAGCAGAGCAGCAGAACATTGCCCAGCATGGGAAGTGTGTCCAGCAGCAGAGTCACCAGGATACGCATACCTGAAAGAATGGGCAGAGACAAGGTTACACGGCTGACAGCACACATCAGTGCAGCTATGCAGACAGTACACAGTAGGATACTTGTTTGGAATAGGGACAGATTAACATTTCAATTGTCAATGTAAACTCTTTGTCTTGTAAGTACTGCAACATGTTTTGCTGATATGAGTACAGAGAAGCTGATTCAAAAGGCTGGATAATATGAGTGCCAATCCAAGTACCTCTAAATTGTACAGCCCTTTACACTGCCTATACTGGCTCATTATAAAACACTCACAGGGACAAGTGCACAACTCAGATTCCTTATTCAAGATGTTCTTTTTAGTATTAAAATAAATCAGAAAATGTTGGGATTATCCCTTATATTTATGGATTTCTGATGTGACCCAAATGAAGACAAACTGAAAGTGATTAAAGAGTCGAAATCTGAATTAAAAAGAGGCAGATGATGCCACTAGTGCAAATGCCAATTCATGGTGATAGGCCACTATGTTGTCTTTCTAGTTGTTGTTTTTTTTGCACAAGTGTGTGTCAATGCATTTTGATCAATCCCACAAAAATTACAACGTCTGTCATTTTCCACAATAGCACATCCCTCTACTTGCTTCTGCTTTGCTTCATATGGCATCACAAAAGAGTACAGGCCAGTTAAGTCGACATGTGCCTCCCCTGCTATGTAATGACATATTATGCTGCTGTTAAGACTTTGGTATGCCTGACTAAAAGCATATTACTTTTGTTTCACTGACACAGTTCCTTCTGACTTACAACCTCAAATAGCCTATTTTCATTTTCAATCACTTCATTCCAGCTATGTGGAGTTTGTCTATTGTTATTGAAGTAAATCTTCAAACGGTAATTTAACAGACTTTGTTTGTTTGGTGGTCTGACTTGCACACACTGGCTCGTCAGTGTGTGTGCCTGCTGTATTGGACATGTGTAATGTTGTTTGAAGGTTACATAAATGCAGATTTAATGAGTGAGAAAAATCAGGGATCAAGTCCTGTAACAGATTAAATTGTTAATCCAAGTCTAAATGATAAAAAGCTTAATGATGTGGTTAAACTCAAATAAGAATATGGATCAATGAGCGCAAAAACAACAACAACAAGACATCTGAGAATCAGTTTTGACTATTTAAATTCTTAGTCAGGCCTGGTTTTAGTCAAACCAATGCTGACTCAAATGACATCAGTGGAGGCTATTTATGAGATTTCAAATACACACATAGAGCCTTTGCTATTAAAAAGAGGATAACCTGCCAACTTAATGGCACTGCAGTTTTCAGACCTGCTCAAAGTTTTAAACAGCTGGGGTTAATGGTATATTGCATTGAAAACACACTGATCTAATCTTTATGTGACATGTAGAATCCCTAAACAACAACAGAAGTGGAAAAACATCCTTTAAAGTAAATAAGAGCAGCATTGTACATTAAAGGTCGTATGTTGGGGCTGTGTAAAACATCAATACAGAGTATCTCAATATCTCAATGCTATATTGGTTTTCCACCCCCACATTGACACATTAAAAGGATTATTTTCCATATATTCCTTAGATCACAAGAACCTTCGCAGCTGCTACATGTAGATGTTCAGCTAGTAGGCTGGCTCCTCCACGCTAAAGCTGCCGCGAGCAAGAAAGAGAGCAGCGGTCGTTGAGTTTCAAAGAGATAAAACGAAGCATGAAAGCATAGCAGCTGTAAATTAGGCATCAAAAGAAATAAACAACTTAGTATTGTATGACTGTTGTACAGTGTTTCAACTCTACTGAACTTATAAACTGACTAATATGGAAGTGTTAAATTCTGGTGTGAAAACCCTGTGTTCTAATAAATTGGATTGGAAATGGTGAATCAAATAGAGTTGACTTATTAACACAACAAGCTGTATTCTCGGCTCCAATTTGAATTTTTCAATCCATGTATGGTGATACATACTGTATATATCACAAGGTTCTTGCCGATTCCCAGCCCAACATGAAACCCAAAACCAGAGACAGGCTACCCCGTGTGTCATTGGGGATCGGTAGCTACCAGTAAAACAGCCTTGGAGAGCCATTTTGAAGTGACACACAACATCAGCACATCACAGTCTCCATTGTTGAATATCAAAATGGATTTTGCTGTTGTGAAGCTATGCTGGCCAATAGAACCTGGGCAACATGTATCATATTCAGTATTTCCATATTCAAGAGTGTGGTCATTCAGTTTGAGAGTGTGACTTATTGATTTCATGTCCTTTTCCTAAAAAACTCCTCTCTTTTAAAATAGACGCTGCTTGCCCTTGGATTGGCTCTGCCGGTGCAAAAACTGTATGCTCGCTCACAGATACATTGCTGCTTGTACAGATTTCCTGAGAAGAATATTTATTAAACTTGAGGGCATGCATGGATGAACCCTGTTCGAGAGAAATCAGCCATACAAACTGAAGCAAACACAACCGTTGTGAGGCACAGATCATTGCATTGGTCAGCACTACATGGTGTTCTAATGGCTGAAGGGTTTGAATGAGGACTGTTGATCAAAAATTGAAGAGCTCAGCAGAAATCCAAGAGCAGATATTTCAGAAGAGTGCAAAGAAGAAGCGTTAATGTCGATGCAGAGAAAATCCGTGTTGGAGACAATATATCTGAGTGCAAGCATACAGTTGAAACACAGGAAGAGCAACTCCTAAAGCAAGCTGCAGAACTTCTAATGAAAGCCAGCATTTTAAGTGGAAGCATTGCGAAATCTGAAAACGAGACCAGGAGGTCAACAGTCCAAAACTGAAACTGAACATGCTATGGAATACCGTGGGGAAAAAAAGCCAAAAGAAATACAGTTATGTAGTTGAATAAGGCCGGAAAAGTAGTGATAAACCAGAAAACGATCCCTGCACTGCTGTAATAAAGTGCACATGAGCAAAGCACAAAGCCAAAGAGGAAGAGAAAGCCTGTTATTGCATTGTGTCAGTTGTGGGTGTGAATTTGTGTGACTGTATAAATATTAATCAGGACTTTGTAGGAAACAGAAAATGTGCTTAGCAACATCCTTCCTCAGATGAATAAAGGTTAAAAATACATTTGGATAAGACACCAGATTCCTGTGTCAAACGGAAGTGCAGAGATTTAGTTAGTAGCCTGAGCGTGTGTCAGCAGTACACCTACAGTTTGCTCTGAAATAATGCCACAGCAAAAGGCTCGCTTGTTTCGCCTTTCATACAGAACATCCAGGCCTCTGTTAGCTCTGGACAGTGTTCCCTCAAGTTTCTGACAACACACAAACACTTCCTGCCACCCACACACCCCCTCTGCTAAATCTGGCTCTGTCCCTCTGTTGCAGCTCAGATTTTGCACTTGTTTTAATGCACCAATTTCCCTCATTCTATCTATCTATCTATCTATCTATCTATCCATCCACCCATCCATCTATCTTTGTACTGTATTCTCTCGTGTCCTTCCTCGCAGTTCTCTTGCAGCCTACCCTTCAACAGTAACCCACTAATTCAGGTGTCAAAAATGAGGATCATTTTACTGATCAAGGGTTTTCTGGGTATTTGGCGAGGCAGGAACAGTCCCCGTTGAAGCACCTACAGAGCAATTGGCGGGTTAAATTATGATGAGAGACTTTTGAGTGAGACCTGGTTTGATGAAAAGCTCAAAGTGTTACCGAGCTGTTCAAAAGTTGTATTCAAACTTTCTCCTGTGTTCTGCTTTTCTTTAAATTGGTTGTATTTGAACCCTTTTTTTCTGAGCAGTCTACATAATGTCTATGGCATCTTGGTGGGTTTTGGTGGTGTTGATAGACCTGCGTATATTGATGGCATGTTGAACATCGGAATTCTGTTTGCATTCAAACACCTTTTATCTATATTGAGCCAGCTGGAAGTGTTGCAACAAACCGCATGAAAAACTTTTTCACTTTTGTAGCAAGATTCCCGAAAAAGCTCATTTTTTCATGTGGGTACACACACACACACACACACACACCACACACACACACACACACACACACACACACACACACACACACACACACACACACACACACACACACACACACACACACACACACACAACTGAGACAGAGACTCCTGGTGCTGACAGATGGAAGGAAAACACCGAGGATTTTGCAGACTTGCAACGATATGGCGAACAAGTGAGGAGAAGACAGCTAGGAGATAAAGGAAGAGGGAAGAGCAAAGGTACTACTGAAGGACAGACAAATGAGTGACAGTGAGGAGCATCTATGGGATAACGTGTGTTCGGATTGTGTCTTCCACAGCATCATCCTCTCAGAGGACTAGATCCGAATATGAAACAGGACTAAGGAGGAGAGTGACAGCGGTAAAAACACACAAACCTCTTGAATGATTCCTGAGACTTTTCAAACACACTGTTATTTCAATGTGCGTTATATAGCCGCCACATTGTTCCCTGGATGCGACGCTCATTACAAAGAGTCACACAAACACAGTGTGAGCCATAAAGCTTTTATAATCACAGTGTGAAAAAAAGTTATTAAACGCTGTACTACACTGCTGTAAACACGAGGGACATCAAGTCATCATTCCAGAGAAGTGATCCATTGCAGGGAGTTATGCCAGAATGAATCTGTGAGTCATAGCTTGTGGTGATTTTGTTGCCACTTGCCATTCGGTAGTTTAACATAATTACCCTGAAATCGTAAAGAAAGAGTATTCTGATGTATTCAGCTGCAGTTACAGAGGTGTGGAGGCTAATACACTCTGACAGACCTGACTCACTGCTTACACCAGATATCCCTTCTCTCTCTGTTAATGAGCAGTGCGGGTACACACACACATGCAGTGCCTTACTGTAGGCTAACACATATTGCACACATCCACACACACACACACACACACACACACACACACACACACACACACACATATACAGTACAAAGCACACATTAAGCAGCAGCTCCTTCAAGTGATTGCCTTCATAGTGTAATGTGCTGAGCTGTTAGGATGCTGCTTAGCTGCGGCCGATTGAGAAGG